AGAATTTTTAGCAAAGCACCAAACGACAAAGACAAATATTGTCCTGACAACTACCTTTGCTCTAAGCTGAATCAGATCAGCTGATGCTGTGCTTTGGTTGACTCAGAGTTAAACAACTCGATGTTATTCTAAGTCTCCTGTTGCTGGAAAACACATTTTTAACTTGAATATAAAAAGTAATTAACTCTACCAGTGCATTCAGGAAGGAGGAGAAGAGCTACAGGGGTCTAAGTTATCCTACAGTAAAAGTACAGTGGCCAACCCTGTCCTGTCTCTTTGAACCAAAATATTGTGTTTGAAAAGAAGAGTTAATGAGTAGTGTGGTTGGCAAACTGGCTGCCTCCCAAGCTCTCTGGAGGCGAGCAGGGCCTTCCAGGTGATGCACAAGGTTCTTGGACATGTGGATGTGCTCACTGCTGGCTTGTGAGGCTGCAAACACTGTAACACAGCACTCTGGTTTTGAAGAGTAAATGAAGTGAGAAAAAACAATGGGTAAAGCCTTTTCAATGACAAAGCTGTCATTGAAAAGACAAAGAGACTTTAGCTTTTATCATCTTTATTTTATTTCTAAAAACTTAAAAAAAAACTAATTAAAAATATTTAGAAAAAAAATACATTAATTTCATTGATTTTTAAAATTTAAATTTTTAAAAATTTCTTATTGCTGTAGGGAGATTTGTTTGTTTTGGTGTTTTGTTCTGCCTTTTTTTTTTTTTTTAATTAATGAGTGAATGTGCTTCACTTGGGTGGTAAATAGTATCAGAAAAATCCTCCTGGGTTTTTGCAGGACACCAACCTGCTCCAGCTGCTATTGTGCGCCAGGTACAAAATTATTCTATAAAAATTACTCTAAAATTACTCTATTGCATTTTCTAGAAATCCCTTACGTGCTGCCCCTAACCAGAGCAAAGAAACATGAACTTCCTTGTATTACCTTCGTTGAGCTTTATCTATCATGACATTGCTTTTACTTCATCCTCTGAACAAGGAGTCGACTTTAGTTAGAAAAGGGAGACATTCTCATTGCTGTGTGCATGTGGAAATAGAGATTTTGAAAGCTGCTCTTTGAAAAACTTGAAGTACCCAACTTAAGGCTGGCTGTATTTTTAGGTTTTTTTTTTCATTTTCTTTCTTTTTTTTCTTATATTGTAAAATTACTGCTTTGCTCCCTGTGCTCCAGAATGCCACAGTATAGATTTGTTTAGTCCTTTATATGAGTTTCTAAATTACATGTGGAACATGATGCCACATGCTTTCTCTTAAACTACTTGTTTGTTTTTGCCCTGTTCTCCCCTTCTGGATGTCTCACCTGCTTTGTGTCTGCTGAATACTTTGTCACTTGGTTTCTGGTTAATCACATCTGATGAAGGGCTTTGTCTCTCTTGTGCCAGAAGATTTGGCTCAGACTTCCAAAGCAATTGCACAGGTTATTTGAAGGGTTTATTTTCTTTCCAACAGAGGTAATCTTTATTGCATTAGATTTTACCAACTTCATCCTTTACAACAAGCAGCATAAAATTAAACCAATACAGACTTTTAAAAAACTGGTTTAGATGTTGTGTTTAAATATGTTAGAATCTTGTGTTGATGCAAGAGCTATTTGTTTATAAGTAATCTCCAGCTAAATATTAATAGACTATCTAAGGGTTTTTTGAGCTGAACATATGATTTAAAGCTTACTATAAAAAGCTTCAGAGTCATTACATTATACTAATACTGTAAAGCTGAAAATATAATACCAGGGAACAGACAAGTGGAACAGACAAGTGCACTCTGTGAGTTCTACAGACATCTATTACTCTCTCTTTAGCCAACATGATGATAAAGCTGATCTTAATTGTAACCAAGCCATCTATAAGAACGGGAAGTTAAAGTGATACAAATTCCATTTAGGAGTGTGGTGTCCTGAAGGGCATGTTGGTGAAGGATCACTCAGTAGCCACCTGCATCTTTCACTGTTTGCCTCAACACTGGCTGCTGGCACATAGGAGGTGTGATACAAGCCTAAATGGAGCTTCTGATCCAACCTAAGGTAGCTGGTTTCATTAATTGATTAAAGTATGATTTTTTAAAAGCTGGTGACTACTGATGAGGTAAAAATACTCAGGAATATGGTGGGTTTATTCCCAGAACTGTGCTTTCTTATTTGTAATGACATTTGAATCCAGGTCGGTTTTATGCTTCCATTTTTTTTTATTATGTGGAAGCAGGTATTTTCCACACATCTGCTTTTATTCAGTGCTAAGTTCTATATAGATCAAATCTTAAGCAACTTAGCAGCAGATTAATATTTTACTGGCTGTGTCTACAGAGCCTGTTGTGCGTCACTCAGTTCCTGTGCTCCCTGGGTTCCTGGGGCTGAAGCCCATGGCCAATTCTGTGGGCTGAGCTACTCCAGCTGTGCAAGGCTTGGGCTCAGAGTCTGCCACGAGGGCCACTGGAACCAGGTGTCACTTGGCAGGGCAAGGCCAAAAGCTGCTGGCTTGTGCCTGCTTTGTGTCGTGCAGGTTCACCTACAGACAGCCAGGAAAAGCCTTTATCTGTAAATCAGTATAACAAAAAAATCTGGACTTTGTTTGCTAAACTGTTTTTGTACAGCAGAAGACAGTTTATTTATTATGTTTTTCACCATAGTATTTGTCACCATTGGTTAATAAAATATAACCTGTTAGATCTTTTGTAAAAAGAACGGATTTTTTTCTTTCCAGAGAAAGTATTTTTCCAATTTTTAGCCTCATAGTATTTAGTGCTTTTTTCTGCCTAAATGCTGCAATTTCTTTTAAAAAGCCAGGCTGTAAATAGTTCTGTTTCCATGCAATGTTGAGCACAGTGGAATTTCAAAGTTTGAAATTGCATCTAGAGGGGTCTAGGCTTCTTTCTCTCCTTCTCTCCATCCACCTGTCAACATGATACTCTGATCTCTTTTGCCTTTGCCTGGGATCATGTGGACTGCAAGAAACAATTTGACTGATGGTTTTTAAGCTGTATTACAGCTACCAAATTCTGGAAAAATGATAATGTCTTAGACCAATTAAAGATGACAGCATTTGAAGTATTTTGTCCATTTTCAAGTTCTAGACTGGCCAGAGACAATAAAATAAGTTACAGTTTATTTGGTATGAATATTGAATGTTTGTGAAAGATTCATCAGAAAAGCATTGATTTTAATGCAGAACAGATTCATGAACCTGCAGAATAGTTGATATACAAGCAATTCTGTGATTCTATAAATTTGTTTAGTGCCAAAGGATTATGAATACAGTACTTTGAGTGCTGCAGCATTCACATAATACAGTGGGAGCTACATCGTTTCTTCAAAAAGAAAATGTAGTCTCTACAACAGCATGTACCTTCATCCTAGAAAGTAAGGAGCCAGAACACAGAAGAGAATTTTTATCTGAAAATGTCTTTTTACTATTATAACTACTTTTCTGTGCTTGGTTAAAGAGCCTTGGCTGTCATTGGACTTGCACATACTCTCATCCCACTTCAACTTGTGCTGTCCTCCACCCTGTCACATTTCTGCAGGGTGAAGATAAAATGTGGGGGTGGAGGGGGGAAAGTTTTGGGCCTTCTCTTTCTGTTGTTTTTGGTTTTGTTTTTTTTTTTTCTTTCATGCTTATACAAAGGTTGAATGAATTTTCAGTGCTCTTGCATACCAGTTTCCTACTTCCTAATTGTTTCCAATAGCACTGCCATCAGATTGGCAAAGGGTGCAAGAAGAGATGGTGCTGTCTGGAACTGAGGCAAAGAAAAGCGAAGTGCTTCCCCAACATCAGGCAGAATTATGTCACAAAGCTGAAATTTGAGATAATAAGAAACTCTCAGCTTTTTTTTTTTTTCCCTGAGTTTTTCTAGAGTGTTTACAGTGCAGACTGTCCTCTCTTGGTGTACATTTGATTTTTTTATACTCAGGCATTTTTTACTGAGCCCTGCCCTCTGCATCTTCCTCCCAGTCACAGGCACTTAGATATTGAAGTATACCTTAAAGTCACAGACAGTCACAAATAAGTGAAAAATATGGAGGTGGGAGGACAGAGGCTGTTTTAGTTAAATAATTCAATAGGTTGATGGGGAACTGCTAATGTCTAGTTCATATTCATGGTGCACCTATGGTATAGATACACTCATGAGAAAGGCATCTAGTCTAGTAGTCTACTTTCATCTGATGAAGTGAAACAAACTGTACTGGGAATCATCATTTTGCAAGTGTTTCTACTTTTATGTTGCTGGACTGTTTCTTCCCTCTATACCAGGCAAAGTCCATTTGTTGTACAGAAATTGTAGATGTTCTATCATAGTAATAAATTTGCTGTGGCTGACCTGATGTCAAAACCAAGCAAGAGTGAAACTAAGTTTAAACGAAACTTGATTCACATATTGCTGCCTTGAAAAATTACAAGATATTTTAAAAATACGGGGCTTCTGTTGGCATGGATTTTTTTCTCTTTCAGCCAGGTCAGATTTATGTCTGCAGCTATTTTCTCTAATAAGTAGTTGTCTTTTTCTTAGCTGGGCTAGCTCCACTTTTCTGTTGTTGTGAGGGCACCAGCATGTGCTGCCAGCAGAAGGTTTGGGCTTGGCTGCAGGTGTTCATGTTCTTCCTCACCTAGTGTGAGCTCCAGCTGTCTGAAACCCACCTGCTGCGCCGGGGAAAAGTGCTGGAAACCCTGCAGAAAAAAACCACAACTGTCTAATGTCCTGCCTAGATCAAATGTTCAAGAGTCAAATTTGTCACTTGGTCAATTTTTCAGTGGGACAGGCTTTTGATTAGAGCTTTCTTTGCTGTTTTTTGGAGATGAACGGCAAGGCAAAGAAGCTGGAGTGATATATGACTATGAGAAGAGCTGCTGAGGATATACTGTCAGTCTGGAAAGAGTGCCTGTTTGTTCTTGGAAGTCTGTGCAGTGTCATGTAATGTTTTTATGCTTGAATGTACATCTGAGTATACAGTTGTGTCATCATCTGCATGACTTTTCTTTTTTTTCCCTTTCTCACAGTGCATGCCAATTAAAGGCCTTGGATTTGTGCTTGGAGCCTACAAATGTATTTGCAAGGCTGGATTCTATCATCCCAACATCTTCTCAGTGAACAGCTTTCAGAGTAAGTGCCTTTGCTTGAGTTAAAAAAAAGAACACAGAGCTAGCTTTAATAATGCAGGGCTGCTTTTATCCTTGTCAGGGTTATACAGCAAAATCCCAGTGGTTCGCCACTCTCTGATTATATAATCACTTAAGGAGTGGTCCTTTGGTTTGTCATTCACGATACTCTTGAGGATCCTGTAAAACATACCCACTTGAAGAATATTTGATTTGTAAATAAATTAAAAAACATGAAAAGAAGCCTTGCTAAGGGGAAATAGAGATTTCTTGCATCTGTACTCATGCACAAGTATTCTGGAAATTAATCTACTCATTTTCTGTTCAGCCAGAGGAAATGAGAATGCCTTAGCCTCTGGCTTTGTGAGGGCTTTAATTGTTTTCATTTTACTCCATTTGCAAAGGACAATTCAAAGGAGTGTCCAAACTCTAATACATGCTGATGAGGTAATAGAGATGGTTCAAGCCTGGGAGTCTGTTTGGCTGGATGTATGGATAACATACATCCTACACATCCCCAGGACACACCCTGTATGGTTCTTAGATTGAATTGCCCACAACAAGAGAAACAGAACTTGGATGATATTAGGGAAGACAGTCAAAATGCATGCCTAAAGCTGATGTCTGTTACTGTCATCATGTATGGATTTTGTGCTGAAATTGTTGCAGTTGTACTGACAGAGCTCAGGCTGCAGTCACAGGTGCAAAGCTGCTGCTTGGAGGTGTCACAGGCATCCTTCTCTGCTCCTGCTTGCAAGTTCACCTCATGCCCAGCTTCTTTGCACTGTCCTTCAGCCAGAGGTTCATGTCATCAGCTCTCACTGTGAGATCAGTTTGTGTGAGATATCCAGGGAATGGCAATGAGTGTCTTTAACTAATCTTGGTCCAGGGCTGCATCTATTATCTCCTGCTTTGTGTGAAAACAGCTGTTTCTGTTTCCCAAGAGAAATACCTCTAGTATTAATGATCATTTAATTTACACACACACATACCACATCTATCCCTCTATCTATCTATCTGGGATATAATGTCTTCTGTGCATATTTGTAAATAGCACAGTTTGTTCAACAGTTTATCTGCTGAGTGTTTCCCTTGTCTTTTCATATAGTAAAGTGTTGCAGAAGGCAGCCTCGTGATAGTGCTGTTTCTCTGGGCTGTGTTAATCTGTTGCTAGACTAAGGAGGATGTTTGGTTCTTCCTGAAGTGCAATGAGTTCTGGTGGAGTAAGGATTTAATTCCTTGAGAAAGCATATAAAGAAGACCTCATACCAAATGCCGTAGAACACACACACAAAAATGTGGCTAGAGATCAAAACAACATTGATCATTAGGGATGAGATTAACTTTATTTCATATCAGTTCTGCAAAATATATGTGCTTGGTATGTATTAGTCACCTAGGTTTCAACTGCTGTCAGCATCAAGAGCATGGCTCCCCTGGAGAGTGATTTGTCTTTAGATGGAAAAACAATACCTCCATCTTTTCTCCATTTGCTATAGAATGAAGAGCCTTAAAATGGCTATTTAGCTCCTAATAAAGTGAAATTTGTCTCAAGGAAGTTTGCAAATGCTGGTATTGGAAGATGTAGGGGACCAGTTTGATTTGAGCCTTTGTTGCTGTGAGGTAACCTGAGTTTTGAAACTGTAATGAAGAACTTTTAAAATTCATCCAGATGCAGCTCCATCTGTCAAGTTGTATAGATGGTTTCAAAAAGTGAACAGTGAGATTGGAAATTACTAAAGTAATGAGAAAAGCCTGTGGTTCAAAGGAAACTTGGTTGCACAGCTGCATTCTATAAAAAGAAAAGAGGGAAAAATGACATGGTTAAAATGGCTGTAGTATGTAATTGGTGGTTCAAAATGATGTTAACATAGGAATTCTAGATATGAATTCTGCAAGCAATTTTGACAGAAACTGTCTGACCTGGATATCTCTTTGTGGAGCTAGGTTGGTGAAATCTGATGATGAAAGAGATGAAACTGAATAGAAATGTTAATCATTTAGAAAGTATTCCTAGTGGAAGAAAATAAAGAGGCAGCAAAGATTTACAGGTCTCAAGATATCAGAAAGGAGATATATAGAAAAAAATTACCAGCTTTGTACTTTACTCAATTGAAAAATTGGCTTGTATTGTGTCTTGAAATGGGAGCATTTCTCACTGGTGCCGGGATTTTACACCACAACAAAATATGGGTAACTACAGTTTCACATTGTGTCTGAAGTGTCCAGCTTTTGAATGGGGGAAAGCTTCTGCTTTTGGCCCAGATTAATGTTTTGGTCTGAGTCTGAAAGATAACTGTATAATGCAGCTTTGCAGGGATGTTGAACACTCCACACAGTTTACTGGTTGGTTCTGTGGGAACCTGCAACGTGTCATAAACAGTGTCTGTGTAGGAAAGATTCTCCAAATCAGTTGCTTTCTTGTCTTAAAGCAGCATAGTGTTGCTGCTTGCAGGAAGGCTGCAGATGTTGTAGGTTCCCAAAGAGCGTGTGGGACAGGGGCACAGCTGGAATTCAGGCTGTTCTCTTGCTGAATAAGAAGCCAGGTAGGAGGGCATTTCCCTCCCAAGTCTGTGTTCATTCTTCAGAACTGATGGAGCCAAACTATGTAAAATCTTTCTATTTTTTCTGCATGTGTTAATGAGGATCTTGGGTACTAGAAGGGGACAAAGTTATTGCCATACTTCCAGGGTGTCTTTTGACATTGGAAATTGATTTTAGAAAAAAACACATTTCATGTACACAGGCTGTATTAACCTGTAAGTACTTGACTATGTGGTTATGCATTTTCTCCTAATGGCTCATTTTTAGGTAACACTGTTAGTATAGATAGAATAGACTAACTGATGATTACTTGTATTTTAACATTCCTGTAACATTCTCTGCCTTATGGAGTAATCAGGTTTGCATTGAAAAATCCTTACCAGAACAATGGTGCTTTGTTCAGCCTTGAAGTTTGCCCTTTAGCAATGTATCATCCATATACTGCAGAAATTCCCAGCTCCTGCTGTTTGGATGTGGAACCTTTCCTGCTTGCACCAGGAGTGGTTCTTTCATTTGATATGGGACTTTGCTATCTTTAACACTGCCATGATCGTATAAAACTTTCCAAGAGGAATTTCCAGTTCAACAGGAACTTTCATTTTTTACACCTGCCCTTTGGTTTTGTTTCTTCAACAGAACCTGCACATGCAGATCTTTGCATATTTGAAGGTTGTCACTGACTTCAGTAATCCCTTTCTGGGGTGAGGCTTATGGCCATGGCTGATGGACAGGTTTTGGTGCCAAAAGGTCCAGTTACATTCTCACCAAATTACTGGATCATCACTGATGCAACTGGAATGTCCCTAATTTATTATAGAAAAGGAGCAGAATCAGTCTTTTGTTCTGCTCATTGCTCACATGCACTGTGCTTTCTGTGTTCATGTGCTGAGATCTGACTGGAGTGCAGGATGATTTGGTTTGGGACAAAGCAGTCCCTGCCCTGGCTCTCAGCAGTCTGTGGTGCCATTCTCACTTTGCAGGAAGGTCTCAACTGGTGATGTTGCAGCTGCTGAAGCATCCCTTGCGTGGCAAAGTGTCCTTAGGAGAACTGAAGCTGATGAAGAGTTACCCTCAGGAGAGCATTTCAAAAACAGATGGGCCAATCAGACAGAAAAATAAGGCAGGGATAGAAGAGAGAAGAGCTAGGAAAAAAGTATGATGGAGTTGGAAATATCTGAAACATTTAAGCTTTTTGTTTTATTATACTTCATGTTAGTTTGTGTCTCTATTCCTACTTTCCACCTACTTTGCTCAATTCTTTTCTTCTTCCTTTTTATCCTTTTTATTTTTTGGCTATTACATTTTATTTCTCTTCTTTTTTTCTTTTTTTTATACCTTGCTTATTTTCAGCTTTAACTTCTGCAGCACAGTGTTTCCTTCTATCTCATTTGTAACAGTGCTGAAACTGCCTTACACAAAGCAGGAATGACTTCTTTTCCATCTACCTTACCGTGTCTAGAATCTTTTGACATCTTTTGAAGAGGAAAAATTGTTTTTATTCACTGCAGGAAACATGTAATCCCAAAGAACTGCTGAGACAGGACAAGGCTCAATGAAACATCTAGCAGTTCTGTTAGAGGCACTCCAGGCTTGGCTTGGGCTGTCTGTGTCTTGTACTGATGTTACATTGACTTTGGTGAGGAGACAGGACCAGACCAAAAGGGCATAAATGCTCAACTATGCACTGGGCTACTGTGCCTTGAGACATATAGTCATGGCAAGGGTGTGTGTGGACAAGATCCCTGTCAGTGGTATATACAAGGAACAGTTCTTCCCCAAGAATTTATTTCAGAGGGTCTGAAAAAAGTTCTTTCTTTTTGTCAAGGAGAAAAAAATAAAAAAAAAAAACAACCGAAACACATAGGAATTATTAGTTGTTCCACATTGCAGTATGGAAAATTTCATGTAGATCCAATTTTTTTTTTTTTAATCTTTCTTTTATTAGCTATAAGGAACAATCCAGTAGGTTGGAAAAGACCTCTGAGATCACTGAGTCTGACCTGTAAGCAACGCCCACCTTGTTAACCAGACCAGGGCACTGAGTGCCACACCCAGCTCAGATACCTCCACCTCCATCTGATAGTCAAAAGATATTCACAGAAAAATCAGTCCTGGCTGGCAGTGCAGACAGCGCAGAAGATGCGCATCAGGGATCTTCCTTTGTATACAACAGTCAATACCACAGAAGCAATAGATTGGAAAAGACCTCTGAGAGCATTGAGTCCATCTTGTGACCCAGCACTGCCATAGACTAGACCATGGCACTGAGTGCCACGTCCAGTCTTTCCATAACTCCTCCAGGGACGGTGTCTCCGCCACCTCCCTGTGCAGCCCATCCCAGTCTCTAAACATGACACCAGACACATCTAAAGTAAAGCTTGCTATTGTGCTATGAAGTCATATCTGTGGGATATTCACTTCAACATGCAACTGTTTATTTAATTGTTATCCCTGTAGTATGTGATGGGCATCCACAAGAAGACATTCCCACATATGATTCTGATAAGAAACTGCTTGATAAAATGCAATATAGTGTATTTGCAATGACTTTCAAAGTTGAACATTTCAGAAATAAAGTAAGTGCATCAAGTTTAGAATCATGCTAAAATTATCAAGCCATATTCAGATAATATTTGTGACAAGTCATCTCACAACTGTGGGTCCTGAACTATATTTTTCTGTGTGTGAGTTTTTATACTGCAAATAATTTATTTAGTGGACACAATAAATATTTATTAACAAATGGTTTACGGGACTCAGAAATGTGAGGTTTTAAAGAGATGGGCTAATTGAAGGGGAGCTATAGAAATTATAAAGGAACATATATGTGGTGGAAAAGCGGGGTGACATGAGCTTAAATGTTGAGGAAATGAAGTGGAAAACTCGGACAGTAGGGAATGCACTCTTGGTTTGGATATGGAGATGAGACGTGAGAGGCTGTGACTTCTGTCCCTGGCAGAGGACAGTGTGGGTCTGTTGCTCTAGAATTTAAGAAAGCAAGAATCTGATGTTAGATATGGAGAAGGTGATTTCTGTTAAAGCTCTTGGAATGATAATGGGTTGAGGTTCATGAGTGTGTGCTCTGAAGAGAACTTCCAGTTCTAGAATATCTTCAACATTAGTGTTCTTTAGAGCTCTCAATATGGCATGGTTATTTTTCAAGATTTCAGTTTTCCAAGATTTCCATTTTTTTTTTGACCCAGATCCTCACACAGTCTGGGTCAAAAAAGCACAAGACCTCTTTTTGCTGACTCCTTCTACCTAAAAATCTGACTTCCAATATGAGTCAGCACTACTCTGCTATATTCAGGTTTCTGACATCTTAGTTCAGAATAGAGCTCCAAGGAGAAATTCACTAACTGCATGAGAAATACCATCCTGTTCTCTACTCACTCTGGGATGTGGGAGCGAAGCATCCTACACTGACAAGGAGCATGGCCTCTGTCCTTTTCCCAGGCTTTGCCTGGCAGCAGATGTGTTCTCACGTGCACTTGGACATGGATTTGAGAAAGCAAGAAGTAATTACCCTTGTAGAAAACCTTCTGCTTCAATTGATTAAAACTAAAGGTCTGAAGAGAGTTGCATCAGCCTATGTGTATGTGCAGTGTAGGTGGAATAGGTTGTCTCTTGAAGGACTCAGCAATGCATGATTTACTACTTTCCCTGACAGAGAAGGAGAATTTTGTTCAAATAAATTGAAGGATTTCTCTAGAATTGTGAAAAGTGAGAGGAGTTATCACCCATTATAACACACCCATTGATTTGGTTTCAGCCACATTTTGTTGTTTCTGTGAGCTCCTAAGGCTGTCTTGCCTATAACAAACATTTTCAACAAATTCTTTTTTTCCTTTTATTTAACAATATTCTTACCCCCCCCCCCCCCCCCCCCCCGCATTTGTCTTTTACCTTTTAATTCTATTAATGACCTCTAGGGTAAGCAGCCTTACAAGAGTTTATGGGCAAGTGTCATAGATCAGAAAAATTAGGAATCCTGTGTGTGCTCTTGATGGATTCACATTGATGGCTGAGATATCAGTTCAATAGTCATTGATTTTCCTAGACAAATAGGTGTGTCTACTTCCTGGTGTGCTTATGTGAACAATGGAAAACTATACTTAGTCTAAGTGCACTGGTTTTGCTTTGGGAACTGAGTAGCGCAATCATGCAACAGCCTGTTGAACAAATGTTAATTAAGAAGGTTTTCATCTAATTTGAAGCTCATTAATTCACTAGATAGCATTTTTATAAAATTGAGGAACAATCTGAAAATGGGATCAGAGCTTGTACTATCAACATTAGGTAGTTAATGGATCTGCCCTTCATCTGTCTGTGTAAAATCCATTCCTTATTCCCAAATATTTAATGTAATTTTTTCCTCATTCAAAATTCTTCATAGAATTTCCTGTGCCGATTTAGCCCACTTTAAATATTACAGGAAAGCATTTGATGTTTAATAAGCTCACTTTCCTTCATCGGTCTGCGTTTTCTGAATGTTACAAAGGACATTTAGTGAGAAAAGCAGTACTGGGCAAGCTGTTTTGTAATGGGAGGTAAAGGAAGCCCAGCAGAGGACTGGTGATGAACTCCCTATCCCCTACAGCTAAAGGTGTCTCCCTTCCCTCTTCTGATACTTTCAGGAAAGGATGCAGAAAATCGCTTTTCTGGTGGTGAATTGTCAGAGGAAGTCTACACCTGCCTGCCCTGCAGAGAAGGGTGTTCTTTCTGCACAGATGATACTCCCTGCTATGCACAGGAGGACAAGTATTTACGTCTGGCTATCATCTCCTTCCAAACGCTCTGTATGCTGCTGGATTTCATCAGCATGCTGGTGGTCTACCATTTCCGCAAGGCAAAGGTAAACCCGCGGGTTTTACTTGGGTGTTCCTCCTCACCGTGTGCTGCACACTCGTTTGTCTTGGTTCTGTAGCTTCCCATTTTGAGGGTCAGTTTCTCAGGCAAGAAGCGCAGCTCAAAGGGAGGATGGGATTTCCAAACAGGAATGTTTTCCTGAATTGTTTATGTGGTTTTGGGGAAGAAGAAGAAGAAAAAAAAGCTGAACAATTTGTGTCTTTCAATGAAATATGCTTGGTTTTATAGATGTTCAGCGCAAATCAAGGAAACTATAAAGTAATTTTGGAAAATTAATTATGCACATATCTAAAGGGACATGGGGTTTTTAGAAACTTGGAATCTTGAAAATCTCTGCATTACCACTGCTGGGAATGATGTTTGGTTTCAATATTTTTGAGTGACTATATGGAAAGTAATTATGGCAAAGAGAAATCTTTCTGAATAATTCTAGATCCTAGAGAGTTTAAATGTGATTCTGTGGTTAAAGATTATTTTTTTTTCACTAAACCAAGAGTATACTAAAGAGTATCTGTAAATTGCTGATGCAGCATTTATGTACTAAGCTAATGAACTTTCTGCTTTTACCTCACTGAAAATCTGGTAATATCTCTTGGAATCTCACTGTTGCCTCAGTAAATGCAGAATATTCCCTGAAATTTCTAATTTACTAAAAAGAAATTAACTAAAGATGGCATATATTCACTACCTACATTTGAGAAACAGAGGTGTGCACACAGTGTGCTACATTATTGAAATTAATAGCTTCATCCACTTTCTATAACTAGATAAGTATTTCCATTTTGGTTTTTGGAATTCTTGATCCCACAGTCATCCTGATCCTGCAGTGTCTGTGTTACAAATGCGTGGCTCATTTCGAAAGAGTTTAATATCCTGCAAGGAAATCACAGAATGAACAAGAACATTCCTTTTTTTTTTTTTATCTCTTCTGTTTCTGACAGTGTCTTTGTATTTAATGATATTATATTAAATTATTCAAATTACAGACTTAATTGTATTCATAAAGTCGTTTTGTTATGAAAAGTTTGTTGTAGGCATCTGTTTAGTTGCTCGACATTAACTTAGCAGAAGGACTTCATTCTGATTTTGTGAGGTTTTAATCTGGTAATGTTACTCACTTTCAATGTCATAAACAACATCATGACAAGCATTTCTTGTGAGTGAAAACTATTTCTAGACTTAGAAAGTGATATGCAGCTATTGCAAGCTGGGCTTGTCTTCTTTTTTACACTACACAATATTAATTGTCTTATAGGGAATATTTATATTTTCTCACAAATAGATTGAGAAATAGTTTTCACTCTTGCACTTGTACATTTGCATATGTTCTGATATAGGTATCTGCTAGAGTAAAAAGATATATCTTTATTAGACATTACACAGGAATCTTGTGCTTCACAAAACCTGCTAGTGATGAAAAGCACATTTTTACATTTGTGATGATTAGTCAGTTTTCCATAGTAGTCTATGAGTGAAGAAACACATGGAATCCGAACCTTTAATAACAAAGCAATACTGAAGTGGCATATACACATATTTTGTTGTCTCTGGAGTGCTTTTCAGTTATTAGGAAGAAGTTTGTGCTTATTTTTTTCCCAGATTCTCTCTTGCCATTGGTAATCATGACACGTGAATGAGTGATAATCAGTCATAAAACAAAGCATTCTTTTTCCCTGAAAGAAAAAATATGCTCTTGAGACATTGCAGTTCATTCAGTTGACCAGAGATGGATTCAATTACAGTTTTGGTACCTTACAGGAAAGTTAACTTTTCTCTAAATGTGTATATCTCACAAGGAAAAGGGAAGGAAACATGAGACAAAAGAAATAATATGTTGATTACCAAACCTTTCCATTATGATTGATGTTTTCAAGGAATAGAAACTGATAGATTTTCCAGTGCTTTTCATGTCATTCAGTTGAGTTTTTCTTAGATATTCCTTTAGTGGTTTCTATCTTGTTTGTATAGCATGAAAAAGATCTTGTGTGTTTACCATGACATGAGAAGTTGTATGAAGGGCAAACATAGTGGGAACAGAGTATTTGCATAAGAAAACTCCTAGTTACATTGGGAAATGACAGAAATTTGGAGTGAAGGAAGAAAACTAGTAGTTTACCATGTACTCTCTGCCAAGAAGGTAGAATCATGAAAATGAAAGAACACATATTGAAGTATATTCAAAATATCTGCCCTTTTGAGAATTTCCAACTGTTAGTGAAGCAAACCACAATTAGGTTAGTATATATGGCTGTGATTAAAGTTGCTGTGTTAAACTGCTCATTTCCATTGTGCTGTGTGGGAGTCAGAGGAGAGCATATCTTTGGATTTTCTCCCACGTGTAGCACTACAATATTCAAATGGTTGCAAAAAATAGTTTTGAATGCAACATTTTAACACAAAGAACAGCATACAGCTACTATATCAAGAAGCAAACTTCAAAGTATTCAAGGGAGCAAAAGATGGGAGTTGAAAATAAAAGATGTTAAATTAAGGCCTTTTCAGTCCTGAAAGGAATGAAGAGTAGATATATGACATTTTGATCTGTCTGTTGATCAGTAAAATCCAAAGGTAAATGGGATCAGGTTACCTCTTTAGTAAAAGTGACTGCAGAAGGCTTCTCAATGTTTGTACTTCATGGGGGCTCCTGGTAATTACTACCTTCAAAAAACTAAGGTCCTGAGAAGTTAAGGTCTGCCAACAGAAAGCACTTGGGAAGAAACACCCCAGGCACCTCAGCAGTGATTTATTATAATTCACACAAAGAATTATAAAGGTCCCTAAGCATCCTTCAGCTTATGATGGAAGTGACATGACATTTTTTGTATTAAAAAGGGTCAATGTGTCAGTAAGAGCAGATGCAGATCATAAGTATTTTAGAGAAATTAAGAAATACTTCAGCTATTCAGATCACACTGGTTGAACTTTTTATGACCAAACAGTACTTGACAGTGGAAAATTGCCATCAGCCTAGTTTTGTAAATAGTGTGGAATATATGTGAGAACCAAGGCAGTTGCTGAAAGACCAACCACGGGTGAAGGATGGAGCACTGCCACAGAGCACAGCCATGAGAACAGGGACCTTCTTGACAATTACCGCCAAAGTCTTACTGAGAAAATGTGATGATAAAACTTTCATTTTGACACAATCATTATTACTCACCTAGGTCCTAATAATAAGATTCTACAGAGAACCTGGTAAATACCAGCTCGTGAGGTCCCGCTCATATCTTGACAAAATGAATGGTAATAAACAGGCAAAGCCAATAGCAAGCCAGAAGACTGGATTTTAAAAGCCAGGCTTCTCTTTAGAGGGGCTTTTACAAGTCTCTGAAGTTGTCTCTTCTTCTAGAACTTCTCAAGGTTCCTCTGAAGACTCATCTTCAGACTTCTATCTAGAAAACTGCTGAACTATTAATTGTGTAATAAGTTTACATTAATGGCAGTAGAGGAGCAATGGAAGATAGGAAGACTCCTTATAATAGTGACAAGAAATAAAGATCAATAGGTCCAACTTTCACACTTTGAAATTCAGAGTAATGGTAATAAATAACAGAATTACTGGGTCCATGGGCAAATATGGGAAGTGGGGTTTTGTGAGATATGTGATGCCCTACAAATGTATTTGTAGCTCTGTGAAGGGGAGTTAAGAGCATGTGGATATGAGAGTCCTTCTTCCAAGGTTTGCCACCAAAAGCTCTTAAAATTTTGGTCTCAAGGGACTAGGTGAGCTGCACTATGTGTAGGTAACCAAGGCGTGGCAGGAAATACGTTATAAAATCATGTACAGTAGTGAGATGTTGATGTGCAAACATAGATATATATTAATACATGGTTCTTCTTAGGGTGTCATTAGAGGGATTAGGATCAAGGGATCTCTCAAATGTTTTTTAAAAAAAGAAGTAGTTGCATTACAAAACTTTTAGTTGCTTTGTTACTCACTGGCAAAGAATGCCATAGATCCCAAAGTATAAAGCAATTCAGATAGGATGGAATCATGGAGGTTATTTCTCTCTATATATATATTTCTATATACATTTCTGTATTTTTGGGTGTTTAAACACAGCGGTTTTGGTGAAATAGCTGATTCTTCAAGGTCATAATTTTATTGTTGGAAACTTGGAGGATAGATAAGGAAGGATCATTCTCTGCTTCTTTAATAATGCAGTACAGGCCATGAAGTGAGATGGGACACTAGAGTCTAAACCAGAACGTCTTTTATTCTCTTGGCAAAGCATCATTAAGTTAGATTTCTTGTCTCTTCTTGAAAACCTTGTAGACTTGCACATTTGATAGGTGACAAAACAAAATTCTACTTGTTAATCCAAACCACAATTGATGGAAACTACTTGTACCACTGACCAATCTGACCATTGCCAAACTGTAAATGTAAACACACAGTAGTGACTTCAAGCAGTCATTGAAATTGGCCAAAAGAGCAAAATGGAATGGCAAAACGATACGTGACAAAGCTCCAATCAATTCTGTGGTATTCATTTGAGACTTTGTCAAACACAGGTAAAAGTGACTCAGCAGCCCTGAGATCAGCTCAGCAGTAATGTTATTTAACTGCAAGAGTCATAACTGGAGAAAGTCACAGGCAGAAAAGGTGGCCCGTTGCCAAGAGAAAGAACTCCAAAATTATAGGAACAAAAAAAAATTTGGAAGAAGGCACAGAAGGAGTAACAGAAGCTAAACCACTAGTGAAAAGCTTTGTAGGGAAACACAGAAAAAGATGAAAAATATAATAAATGAAGAGGAGATACTATTGTTATAATGTGAAAAGACAAAGAATTTCAGCAGCAGAGTAAATGGGGGAAATGTGCCAAACAAAGAGAAAAATTCTTCATAGCTAATACAGAAGGGAAATCAGATGTGTCTATCACTTCAAAGAAATCTTTTCTGTGGACAGCCCTCATGCCAATCAGTAGTGAAAACTAGAAGCCATGAAACTGGTATTGACACAAGGTGCAAGAGGATCAAAAACTC